GGGCAGACTCCCTTGCAGTTAAGGCCTTGGAGGTAAGCCCACTGAACCACCCTACCCATAGAGACATGGACTCACATACAGACACTTTCATGTGGTCAGCACAGGGGCGAAAACTACCCCGCAGAATCAAGTCTATGTGTCTAAACACGAAGACATAAAGACAGGTTCAAGAGGCTCCTCCGAAACTGCACCCCGCTTCAAGAGGTGGTCGTGACTGATCCATTCTTCGTGGTAGGGTCACTGGAGTCATTTTACATATGGGGAAGCTGAGGAGCAGAAAGAAAAAGCAAAGCTCATAGGAGACCTGGCAGGGGAGGGGAAGCCTCTGAGTGTGGTGGGGCCCTGGCAGAAGGATCCCTAAACAGGGCCTGAATCAAAATCTGTCAGCTATGGGCTCCCGACCCCTGTCCAGTCTTCTCCCCAGATATTTTCAGGAGCAAGTAGAATGAAATGAGTGTCAGAAGCATTCCTGAAGGAAAATGAAGCCCCCAAACAAACTGCGACCTTAGAGGTGGGTGCAGGAGGCCCAGAGCCCACTGGACATATTGTCCCTGCTGGTTATGACACGGCATATGCTGCTTCTGGTTATGATATGGCATATGCTGCTGCTGCTTTTGTAGTACCACTTGCAAGAGCCATCTTGTTATTCCTTCCCTGTTATCTTCCTGAGTTACTGTCCAACTGAGTCCCTGCAGAAGAGGACAACGCAGAAGGCAATGTGAATTGGACCAGCACCCCAATTCACAGTGTCCTGGTGATATAAGCCCTGCTTCTACCCTATAGAATCCTCTGAAGAGCTAAGGGTACCCTGGAACCAGATTAGGTGGGTGGCAGTGGGAGAGAAGAGCAGGGAACTGCCTCTATTTGCCGAGACGTAGAGGAGAAGCTCAGCTGGTCCAAGAGGAGAAGAGGAAATCATCAGAGGAAAACTGGTAGGATGAGATAAAAGGCAACTAGAGGGTAACAAAAACAATCTTCCAGGCACATAGTGGCTTAGGTGGAACAATCCACCTGAGCCTCCCTCTCTGAAAGCCAGGGCAATATCCATACTCAGAGGGCCAGGAAATCACTCTGAATTGAAGGCCCCAAATAACCCATAACCCCCTTACGGAATCCTCCTTGCCCACCTCAAGGAGGATGAAGAGGCCCTCCCTCCAACCCCCAGGGACCCAGAGGAGCTACACTAGTGTCCAAAGAAGGCAGAGGCAGAGCAAAGCAAGGTAGAGTGCCATCTCCCCTCTCAGCCTTGGGGGGCTCCTCGGCCCTCTGTGCCCCCATGGAGATCACAGGAACTGTCTGGCAACCTCCAATCTTTCTCTTTTTTTGAAACCATGCTGTTGTTTGGGGCAAAGAGGATGGCAAGTTTACTCTTGTCCTCCAACCCTACACATAATTGGTGGCAGCAGGCAAAACTGCTGCAAGGGGAGGGGTTTGCCTGTGGAATAAAGGAGGGAGGGCATCTTAGAGTGACAGAGCTGGGAGGGACCTCGATCATCTGACCCAGCCTTTTCTGTGGCCTCCACATCATTCCCATGATCTATGTGCTCCTATCCCAACGGTCATCTCTGATGCTATGCAAGGTTCTCCAGGCCTCCTCCCCCAGGCTTCCTTAGTGCGCTGCCCCTTCCAACTCTTGTTTTCTGAGGAAACGGAGGCCCATTGACATATGATTTGTTCAAAAGTAATTTTCATCCCAGGAAAGAAGTCTGAGTCTGTTTCCATCCTACTTTTCTACTCAATCCCTAGGAAAGGAAGGGCTCAGCTCTTCTCCTGGTGGACAGGACTATTACCAACAAAGCCCACCCCTTTCCCCAGCTGATATGGGCATCCAATATTGAGGGTCTCAGAACCGAGTCACCTATCTTGGTCATTGCCTCTTCTTCCTGGGTACCCTGAGGGCTCTGTGAGGCTAGTCTGGGTCCTAGCAGCATCTTCCCTGTAGAAAATTGGACCTGGTCTGGTCTCATTCTGAACATAGCCTCACACTCCAAGAAAGTCCTCACAACCTTTCAAAAAGTCTTTCCTCTTTCCCTTACGGTGGAAGGAAAGAAGACACAAAGAGGGTGAACAGTCAAGAGGCAGCTTCCATGGTTGGAGGACATTGCTCCTTCTGCACAGTTTGCCCCAGTTTTAAAAATATCCTTTCTCTTTCCTCTGCTCTCCCTCAATTGGGGTGCTGGTCCAATTCACATTGCCTTCTGCGTTGTCCTCTTCTGCAGGGACTCAGTTGGACAGTAACTCAGGAAGATAACAGGGAAGGAATAACAAGATGGCTCTTGCAAGTGGTACTACAAAAGCAGCAGCAGCATATGCCATATCATAACCAGAAGCAGCATATGCCGTGTCATAACCAGCAGGGACAATATGTCCAGTGGGCTCTGGGCCTCCTGCACCCACCTCTAAGGTCGCAGTTTGTTTGGGGGCTTCATTTTCCTTCAGGAATGCTTCTGACACTCATTTCATTCTACTTGCTCCTGAAAATATCAGGGGAGAAGACTGGACAGGGGTCGGGAGCCCATAGCTGATAGATCTTGATTCAGGCCCTGTTTAGGGATCCTTCTGCCAGGGCCCCACCACACTCAGAGGCTTCCCCTCCCCTGCCAGGTCTCCTATGAGCTTTGCTTTTTCTTTCTGCTCCTCAGCTTCCCCATATATAAAATGACTCCAGTGACCCTACCTTGACGGGCAGTGACATATAGTCTAAGGGACAGCACATATGAGCTAGAAGTAGATTGCCCTGAGGTCAATGTCAGGCCCTACTATTTCCCAGCCATCTGTTTTTCTTGGTGAGTTGTTTCACTTTTCTGAGCGTCAGTTTCTTCATCTGGAAAACAGATACGGTTATATGACCTCAAAGGTGTCCATCAGTGTCTGTGTGTGCTCTAAACAAACCTGCAATTCAAATTTCAGCTCTGTTACTTCTACCTCTGTGACTTCAGGCAAGTTACTCAGTCTCAGGGAGCTTCAGTTTTCTCATCTGACATAGAGAATAAAAACCTCATAGGGTTAATGGTGTAAATTAAATGAGATAATAAGTGCAAAACACCTGGCACATAGTAGGCATTCAATAGGTGGAGGCTATTGTTCTTTCCACTACTTCTCAGAAGAACAAAAGCCCAAGTGTTTGGGGCCAAATGCAGTGGTTCACACCTGTAATCCAAGCACTTTGGGAGGCCGAGGAAGGCAGATCACTTGAGGTCAGGAGTTCAAGACCAGCCTGGCCATCATGGTGAAACCACATCTCCACTAAAAATACAAAAATTAGCCATGTGTGGTGGTGCATGCCTGTAATCCCAGCTACTCAGGAGGCTGAGGCAGGAGAATCACTTGAACCTGGGAGGTGGAGGTTGCAGTGAGCCGAGATGGTGCCACTGCTCTGACCTGTGTGGCAGAGCAAGACTCTGTCCAAAAAACAAAACAAAACAAAACAAAACCCCAAGTGTTTGATAACAAAGGTATAGTAGTGCCTGGTGGGAGGAAGCAGCCTTGTCCCAGATCAGGCTTTGATGCCACTGGGTGTGAGCACAGCCAACTGGGCTAGATTCTCACCACCCCCAGCAGGTTCCTCTCTGTCATACATTCTTACTGAGAACGTTCCAAAAATTCCATGCATTCCAGCACACTACCCTTATCAGCAGCAATTATCCATTATGCAGTTAGAAGAATATTCACTTGCCAGCTAGGTAGCTCTGGAGTCTCTCCATCCCTACTATCTTGCACCTTCTTCTCTGCCTTAAGAAGACACCCTGAAACACAAATTAGAGCTCATAGCTACCATTTACCGAGTGCTATCTATGTGCCAGGCACTGTACCAGGCACTCCATCATGAGTCTATAAGGCAAGAATTGTTATTCCCATTTTATTGGCGGAAAAACAGTCTCAGGGAGATTAACTTGCCCATGATGACAGACTAAGAAAGAACAAAGCCAAGACTTGGGCCCAGACCTAACTCTGAAGCTTGTATACCTCCTCAGGTGTCTACATTGCCTCCTCTGAATTCACAGAAACTTGATACACTTTTGCCACTCTTACACCCTAATCATTGAGGCAGGCTGAGGGTCATGGACCAGCATCTTCACATACAGGGCTCTGTACACATTTTCTTGCTCTGGAGAGTCATTAATAGAATTGCAGAAGACTTTGGCCATCATCTCTCTGATGATGGGAGGTAACATGGCTTGTCCAGAGTCAATAATATTTAAGATATATATTTAATAATATTGTCCACACAATATTTAAGAGACAAAGCTAGAAGCAAAATCTATGTCTCCCCTAACTTCTGACTCCCAAATGAGCACTCCTTAGCCTGTATCCTCAGAGCTGCCAGTACCTACTTCTGGTTCTCACTCTTCTTCTTCCTGATGATCTGACCAGTCATCAACCCTGCCATCCGGTGGTATAAGGTAGTTATACCTCCAGCTAAGCTGTCATATACCCTCTAGAGTATACAAAGGAAATGGAAAACATGATCCTCACTGGAGAAGATACAACACCAATGTAAGGTTACACACCACCACTATGCATCACAGGCCAAATTCCCCAAATGCCACGTATTTTAGCAGGTAGGCAAGGGTTGCATATGAAAAACAGAATATTTGAATGAAGAATATCTGAGTGACATTGAAAGGGCCAGACAGAAAGTGCCATGTAAAGTTAGAGGAAACAGAAGTCAGTCATCCCAGAAGGCTTCATAAATGAGGGGTGATTTGAGCTGAATCTTGATGACTCTTAAACAGAAAGAAAGAAATGGACAAAAATAGGCCAGGCATGATGGCTCACACCTGTAATCCCAGCACTTTGGGAGGCTGAGGCAGGTGGATCACCTGAAGTCAGGAGTTCAAGACCAGCCTGGCCAACATGGTGAAACCCCGTCTCTACTAAAGATACAAAAATTAGGTGGGCGTGGTGGCAGGCACGTGTAATCCCAGCTACTCGGAAGGCTAAGGCAGGAGAATTGCTTGAACCCGGCAGGTTGAAGTTGCAGTGAACTGAGATAGTGCCATTGCATTCTAGCCTGGGTGACAAGAGTGAAATTCTGTCTTAAAAAAAAAAAAAAAAAAAAAAAAAAAAAAAGGGCAAAATAGTCACATAAACAAAAATCAGTAATGGACAGATGGAGAGGAAAAGAGACCAGTCAGAACAGCAACAAAAGAAATAAAAGGGAGGGAGGGGGTGATCTTACTAGGCTGGTGGACAGGCCGACTCTGTCCTTGTTTTGCACTCCGTCAGGATGGTTGAGGAGTCATTTTGCCATATAGGCAGAGGCTTGGAAGTAACCCTCTCTCAAAATCTGTTCCAGCTCTGGGATTCTAGGAGTACCTTTTTCGCAGGCCCTTAGTGTTGGCTTTACAGAGGGGTCCACAGGCAGCCCTGCCAGGATATGGGGCAGAGGTAACCCAGTCCAAGCTGTTTACACCTGTTCCAGCCTCTTTTCTGGACACTTCGGCCACCTCCAGTTTAATTCCCTTGGCCCCTCACCCCGGTTTCCTCCTACCCCTCCTCTCTGCCCACCTCCACTCCTGAGTTACTTTACCACCTGCTTCCTTTCCACCGGCGCCCCAGCTGCTTCCACGAAGGAAACAAAAATCTCTACCTTGCCAATGGGCATCATCACCGATGTGTGGTTCCAGAACCCTGCACATCACAAGGCAAGTCTCCAGCCACCCCAGGTCTACACCCTGTACTGGTCCACACAGCTGCCTTCCCAAACTTGTTTCTCCTCTGCCAACCCCAGCCCCCATACTTCTCCAGTCAGCATCCTCAACTCCTGTTTGTCCAATAACCCAGGAGCCGTCTGACCTGAGCCTCCTAGTCCCTGCCCCCTTCTCTCTCCATTGATAAGAGAGGGTTCCCTCCTTTTGTCCAAGCCTAATACCATATACATGTAACGGGATCTCATCCCCTCTTGCCACTTCAGGGAGCTCGCTCTGTCAGTTATCCCCTCTTTTGCCTGAATGCCTCATCTCAGCTCTTCTATAAACACAAAAAGATCTGCAGCATCCTATAGTAGCAACAGGAAAGTTCCCCAGACCCTACTGCCTCTCGTCCTTCCAGACTCCCAACTTCTCTGCCTGAGGTCTCCATGTCACTGCTTCCCTTTCACCCCTGGCCCTAGTGCATTCTGTCCCAGGCTCCCTCTGACACCCCTCCCCCAAAGTCTCCAGCGACTTCCACATCTTCATATCCAGGGCTGCTTGCCAGTCCTTATCTAGCCTGACCTCTCTGCCTCATCCAAAACTTCTGAACATTCTTCTTCCCCTTCTTGGAGCGCTTTCTTTTCCTGCATCTGCTGGTTGCTTTCTCTCCACTGGCCTCTTAAATACTAGAGAGTTTGGGCTTCTAGCCTGGCTTTTTTTACTTCTCACTCTATATGACCTCCCTAGGGACTCTCTGAGGGTCAGCAAGGGTGATGGAAAGAACATTGGCTTTGTGGTCAGACAGTCCCAAGTTTAAATCCCAGCAACATCAATGGGTGAGCTTGGGCAAGTTTCTTCATCTCTTTGAGCTTCATCTTCCTCATCTGGAAAATAGGGAGGATAAACTTCTGACCTTGCAGGTTGTTGGAGTGTTACTGATGATGACTTACGTGGAAGGTCCCTCACAAAATAGGTGGACAGCACATAGTGGGGTATTATGGCTCCAGGCACCACCAGTGTGCCAGTGACCACCAAATCTATATCCCTAACCTCACTTTTCCCCTAATTCTAATTCCGTATGTTCAGTTTGCGGATCTATAGCTCTAGCTCCCTCCTCTCATTCCTATCTAGTCCTATATTTCCATCTACGTATAGATACTTCCAATGGTATTTTTCAAAACCTCAAGCTGAACCTACCCCCAACTGAACTCATTCCTCACAATGTTCTCCCCTGACCTGTTCTCTTCCTGCGATCTCCATCTTGAGGTTAACAGCTTCATAACCCACTCAGTGGCCGCATTTGGATTCCTCTGAGTTCTAAGGACAGTTCTCCTCCCCATCCCTCTTGCTGCTGCTACAGTTCAGGTACTTTCTCTATATCCTGTGGGCCACGCCCTGGAAGAGCTAAGTTTTAGCTGCTTGGCACAGTGTACATGGCCTTCTGTGCCAGTCCTGAGCCTTCTTTCCAATGACATTTCATGCTTGTCTTCTGACTTCATCATCACTACACCCTAGCTACACCATGCCTGGCATACACCATGTTCTTGTCAGCTGTTGAACTACTACTGCCCTGTAAAATCCTGCTTAGGGCTGGTGTAGTGGCTCATGTCTGAAATCCCAGTTTTTTGGGAGGCTGAGGCAGGAGGATGACTTGAAGCTAGAAGCTCAAGACCAGCCTGGGCAACATAGTGATACCGTGTCTCTACAAAAAATTTAAAAATTAGCTGATGTGGTGATGTGCACCTGTAGTCCGAGCTACTCAGAGGCTGAGGTGGGAGGACTGCTTGAGCCCAGGAGTTGGAGGCTGCAGTGAGCTGTGATCTCACCACTGCACTCTAGCCTGGGCTACATAATGAGACCCTGTTAAAAATAAAAATTAAAAGATCCAGCTTACATGGTACCTTATTGGGAAAGTCTTTTTACTGCCCCAGGAGACTTGGAGCTCAGTGGTCCTCAAATATATCCCAGTGATGGCCCTGGACATATTGCATGGGAATGGTCTGTTTATCTTCCGCTAGTTCAGTCAAACCTTTCAGGGAAAGACCCATTTGGGTCGCCACTGTATCCCCAGCTCTAAGCATATGCCTGGCAGATAGTTGTGCTCAGTGAATATTTGTTGAATGGCTGAAAGAATGAAGGAAGGGTGAGTCTCACAAATCTCAGAGGAGAAGTGAAGCATTCCCTGATCTTGTCTCCCTGCCTCCCACCAGTCTGAGGATGCTTCAGGTTTCCTGGAGGACGTAGGACAGCAGAGGGTGTTGAATGAAAAGGCAATGTAGAAACCCCCGCTGAAGAAAGACCATGGACACATAGGGAACCTAGGAGAGAACTCCTGTTAGAGACTTTTAGGGTCTGGAAGACATATCTGGAGCCTTCCAAGCCAGAGCTCAGGATATCCCCAAAGGTCTGAAGAATTGAGTAATGACAGCCTAGATAAAGCAGCCAGAGGCAGGAGACTGGGCAAAAAGCAGCCTGAGTGGTCAGCGGTCTGGGGCCAGAGCAGGTGAAGGGGGTCTATAGGCAGCTCTCGTTTGAACTCTGGGAGGTACAGGAGGGGAGAGCCCTAGGTGAGATCACTTGAAAGTCCCTGGGAGATTCTCTGCCACCTCATCAAAGATCTTTCTGACTGATGCTTAAAATTCCATTATTGGAGAGTCACTCCTCTGAGCTAAACCTTATGTTCTTTGGCTCCAAATACAAATATTCCTGTGAGAGAGGTTGACGGCCTTTGCCAGTTAAAACTTTAGTTATCAGTTGACACCATGACAAATGTGTTGTGAGTGTCAGAGGAGGGGGTTGTAGGAACACTCGTAAGGAACTTTTGCTAAGAGGTGGCTTGGTCTCCCTCCCCCTCCCCTATTCTTTATGGCTGTCCTTTCCTAGATCCTCACTGTGTTCCCTCCTCAGAGGAAAAGATGGAGAGGTGGAGAAGGACAACTCCATCTACTAATACCACTCCTATGAATATCGTGGATCAAGGAAAGGATAGATGGAAGTATTGGGGCAAAGTTCAGGGTATCCATGAACCAACTTCAAGTAGACCATAAAGCAAATTGCTGTAAAACAAAGCTCAGTTACCCAATAGCTTCTAACACATTTTCAGAGAAGGGCTCCCATTGGGCTGAAAATCATTCTAGGAGAAGCTGAAAATCTGCAGTAAGGAAGGATCCTCAGAATGTGTGCCAGCTATGTGCTTGTGCTGAGTGTTGATATCCTTACAAAATTTTGCCTCCTTTTTGCAGCAAGAGGCTCTCTTTTCTTTATGCCACATCTCCTCTTCTGAGCCAACTTGGCAAAGCTAAAGGATATCACAGTCAGGCTGAGATTCCTTGGTGCCCTGCTCTGGTCCTGCAAAATCTAGTCTGTAGGAAGCTGCAGTATGCTGGAGAAGAATGGGCTCTTCCCTGGGGCACTGACTCAGACTCAGCGATGTTCCACCTCTTGATCAGCGTAAGGGCTACTGAGGAGGGAGAGGAACTCATTCTTTTTTTTTGAGACAGAGTATCACTCTTGTTGCTCAGGTTGGGGTGCAATAGTGCGATCTCCACTCACTATAACCTCTGCCTCCTGGTTTCAAGCGATTCTCCTGCAACCTCTGCCTTCTGAGTTCAAGTGATTCTCCTGCCTCAGCCTCCTGAGTAGCTTGGATTACAGGCATGCGCCACCACACCTAGCTAATTTTGCATTTTTAGTAGAGACAGGGTTTCTCCATGTTGGCCAGGCTGGTCTTGAACTCCCAATCTCAGGTGATCCGCCTGCCTCGGCTTCCCAAAGTGCTGGGAATACAGGTGTGAGCCACCGCACCAAGCCAGAGAGGAACTCATTCTAATTCCACTTCTGCCTTCACCCTCTGTTTTCAGTTCCCTGTCCAATGCTGCTAAGGTTGAGAAATTTTAGTGGCTTCGCTTTGGTAGACCCAAGCTGTAATGCCAACCTTCACCAGTAGGTGCCGCCATCTAACATACCATCCTTCAGCCCTTGGTGAAGTACTAAAGCCAGACCTCTGGGAATCTACTCAGGGAACCCACTACCTCAAACAGATTTGCAAATAAAATTATTATATATGAAATAGACCCACATTGGTGAAGTTAAGATGTGGAATTAATTGTATGTGTATTTCTTTATAACCACAGACTCATGTTTGACTTTTATTGTGCACTTACTATGTACCAGGGACATAAAGAATGCAAGGATTCAAAATGACATGGTATCTCCTTTTAAGTTTATAATTTGGTAAGAGAAATTCACATCTAAATAATTGGAATATAAGGCAGAATGTGGTAAATGTCCAAATATGGAGGTGCCAACGTAAAATTCTAATGAGGCCCTAAAGAGCACAGATTAATTCTAGCTGGAAGCGGGAGGCCAACTCAGTGGTGGAGGAAAGGGTTTAAAGCTG